TTTTGTCATGTCCAATACCTTGGGAATCTCTGGGGAAAACACTTTAAAAGCTATCTAAAACTTAGCACAAATCCTACAGGAGGTGAAGAGTTAGGGAAGTGCAGAAATTGCCTTCTTTTCATTTTCTAGAGGTACTCTGTGGAATCTGAAGAGACTGTAGTCTGTATTCAATAGGACTTCCCAGTAAATGTAATAAACCAAATAATTCTTCCATCAGTTATTTCTTTTGAGCAGTCTTCCCAAGACAGTGCTCTGTGCACAGGGGGTTTTCTGTAATAATTACTCCTGGGAACCCAGTGGAATAAGTGGTAATTACACTATCTAAACACAGAAATAGATCCTTGTGTCATTGGTTCCAGAACTAATAGGAAACCTTACTCCAAATTTCTAAGGGTTTTTTAATATTCATAATCTTCCAGCACTGCAAGATTGAAGATACACACAGGGTTGCACAGACTTTCTTGTTCTGCAGTTTATAAGAGCCACCTGTCTCATAACTGGTATAATAAACAGTTGCTGTACCCTTGGGTTCCTTTCCTCAGCTACAGAGCAGGGCCAACAGATGTTCTGCAAAATGAAGTCCTTCATGATTATGGATTTCTCAAAGGCCTTAATACCAACCCACCCCCGAGAGAATGAGTCAGTCAAGCAAGCTTGAATACTATTCCTATTTCCTACCAGGACAAATGGAAATCATAGCACAGTAAACCATGCCCCCAAATGGAGGCAAAGAACCGGATGCAAAAGTATCAGAAGGAATTGATACCTGTGACACGATGGTCTGAGAGATCATATGTAGTGTACCAAGGAGAAAAACAGCTCTGTTGGACAAAAGGCCCACCTTCACCACCAGGTACTTTTGCCAAGCTAGAGGGTCTCAGGAAGAATGAAAATGGTGAAAAAGCTAAAAGGCAAACTGAGGTTTTGGAGACAGTGTGTAGTATTTGTACTATTAGACTAGAAGGTCTCCTCAGAATCAGTTCACAATATTCTAATCCTTCACAATTATGTACTAACTTTCACTTCAGAAAAATTCTTCATCTCATCAGAGCGACTTGCTGAATCAAAGATTCTAAATTTCTTTTTTATGCCTTGGACCAAGGCACCAAATATAAACCCTCTGTCTACTCAGTCTCTAAATATAGCCAAGAATTAAGATATTCCTGCTTCTGCATCCTAAATAATCTAATGGAATCAATTACTGTTTTGCGTAGATGACATCTGGTATTTGCAAATAAAACATGAAACATGAAATCCAACAAAAATAAGCATGAAACTAAAGTTTCCACCCATCCAACTACATCCTCAGTAAATGTAATAGTTTTGCGTCACAGGGTGGGTTTTTCATATTTCTTACAGACTTTGGTTTAAAGCTCTCTGAGAGAAAGTAACACAAACAGAAGAACAGGGCTGATGACTTTAACTTCAGCCACTGGTTATGCCACTGAACATGTCAAGTATTCACTGAGAACACTGTCCATTGCTTGGAGTTTCAGCCTCATGTTTTTATTGAGTGGAGCACCAGTCCTGCCAAGCAAAATCATTTTCTTTGTACCATGAGACACAGCAAGGTTCAGAGTGAACACCAATGTCAGCTGTGGAAAGGAGAGAATCTGAAATGGATTAAATACAACTTTTTCCCACTGTGCCAGTAAAATCTTTCCCCATGATATTTGGAAGCTAAGGATAGTCCCACTGTATAATATCCATGTTCACAACCCATTTCAAAATATATCCCATTGTGGCACTTTGCTGGAATTGCAATTAATGCTTTATTGGGCTAGGGCCAGAATGTACATACTTGGATGTACATATAGGATTTGGGGATGTTGCTAGCTCTGTCTTCCTTTCTTCCTTCCTTAGGAAAAAAATTCTTTACTGTGAGAGTGGTGAGGTGCTGGAAAAGGTTGCCAAGGAAGTTGTGGGTGCCCCATCCCTGGCAGTGTTCAAGGCCATGTTGGATGGGGCACCTGGGTATAGCAGAAGGTGCTCCTGCTCGTGGCAGGGGGACTGGAACCAGATGATCTTTCAGGTCCCTTCCAACCCAGGCCATTCTATGATTCTGACTCTGATTCTTTTCTTTCTTTTATCTGGGTTTTTTTTTTTATTTTTTTTTCAAATACAGAATAAATAGATAAATATAACTTTACCTGCAATCAAGGACTGCCTTCTTCCTTCACCAAATAATGCATGGCCAGAAAAGGGATGAGTTATGTGCTTCCCCATATTCCAGAGCTGTTAGAACATAGCAAAACAGACAGCTCTGCCCTAAAGACTGCCTAAACTGTCTCTGAGCAACCTTGGAAGAAGCCATTTCTCCTGAAATGCTCTACAATGGAGAATCATATTTCCCTCACAGTTCTGTGCCCTGCCAGACTTGCAAACCTCTGAAACAGCTGGCCATGGTAGTTCATACCAAAAAGATGAATGCTGGAGACTTTTCAGTAGTTGAGGTTTCTGGGCAGGATTAAAAGTGTGAACCATTCCTGTGAAACCCCACTTCTGACTGTCCCTCTCTGCCGTATTCTGTGTGATGGGAACTGCAGCTGCAGATTTTACCTTTCTGCAGCTGCGTAATTCCCACCCATTTCACCGTCACTTACTGACAGTGGGAGCAGGAATGGAAGAAAGTGGTTCCCCCATTCTCCTTGCCTGCCTGATGTTCAGTTTTCTCCCCTGCTCTATCCAAGTGCTCACATCTTCTTGAGGTAAATGAGAAAGTCACTTGAAGCAAGTTGAACCTATTTTTTTTTCTTTTCCCTCCAGATTAAATTTCCACTGTGCCTATTCTTTTCTCAAATTCACCAGGTACCTGTACAAATGCTGCTGCCAACACAGAGAAGGGGTCCAGCTCAGGTGAAGGAATGAGTGACTGTGAGCAGGAGACAAGGGAGAGGGATATTTATTTTAGTGGCAGCAGCATCTTGTGGTGTGGTAAAGGTTTTCTGAAACTATGGCAAAGTCACCAACTGTCATCATCATGTCTGAATGGATAACCTTCATCCTATCCCCTTTATTTATAGTGCCACATATTCTAGTCATTGTACATTTTTTTTTATATAGCTAAAATGGTGAAAAAAATGCTTGAATTCTGGTATACAGGTGTAATGAATGGGATTACAACCCAACAAATGCCTAAATATGGTAACTTACTGGTTTCTGAAACTTTTAAATTTTGTTGGGTTTTTTTTTATTGTACAAATATTTCTAGAGTCACTATCTTACTTAAAAGAAACAAACGTTCCTTTTCAAAATATCTGTCTTTAATTCATTTAACCATAGTCATTGCGCTTGCTGAAAAAAAATACCAATTCACAGCATGACACAGATATCTATGAAATAATTTAACTGCATCATGCACAGTCAGCAGAAGTTCTGCATTGTAATTTGGAGAAAGAGACTTTATACTGTCACTTACTCTCTGAGCTACATATTATGCTTCAAAAATTTTCCTTCCTCCCTATCTATTGAAAAAATATTATCCAGTTACACTTTGTTAACATCTGAGGTTTGCATTTGACATAAAAAAAAAAAGGTGTATGTTTTGTTTGCATGTCATTTTAATTTTCAGGAGCAGCTATAAAAGTAATATCAATAGCATAAGCAGGTGCACCTACCAGTGATAGTTAGACTGTTCTTCATTGTTTTATTTTACCAAACACTTCAAAAATTACTTGATTCTACTCAGTGATAGCATACATGGAAAAGGTAGCTATGCAAGAAGCCAGAATAACCATCAACCTTGAGTTTTGGAGCATGAGTTTGAGTTCTGAAGCTCAGTATCCTTGCTGTGTGTGGTTGTGTGTAAGCTGTCTAGGACACTATTACAGAATAGAAAGCTCAGGAGTTTTAGCGACCATGTAAATGAAAACTCTCACAGCTGCTGCTTGAGTGCATGTAGAAGTGACATGTCTCTTGTTTGTCTGTGCATGGTGTACCCAGGTGGCAAATCAATCAGACTTTGCCTTTCCCCAGCACTCCTGGTTGTAGCAGAATGCCCTGGAAATGTGGAGCACCGTGTATGCTGCTCACAAAAGGCCATCTTTATCCACTTCTGTTTTAAACCAAGCTCCTCCCTACAGTAATCTCTTAGTACTTTTTCAAAGGCAAAAGTACTAAATTTCACTCAAATTTATATGTTTGTATTAGCCATTAATCTGGGAAACTTATAGTTGTTGTACAAAGATGTGAGCCATTAGAAGGACCCTGACATCTAACTCATCCTAAATAATATAACTTAGCAGTAAATGTTTAACTTTTTTTGAAGACTACATAATGCATGGTATACTACTTCCAGCTGCATATTTTAAGTCACTGGGAGGAAAAAAATCTTGGCCTAATAAAACCTAGAAAAAATTGGTAATGAGCAAAGATCTGTGACCAAAAATTAGTCTCAAAGGTGGGGAAGTATTTTATAAATACTAACAAATTATCCATTATATTTACCAAGAATAACTCTTAAATAGCAAGCCTCTCAGTTAGGACACATAAGAATCTTGGCCCTTACCAGAGAGCTGCCCTTGATATAATATCACTTGCATCAATTTCATTGGTCCAGCATAGACTAAAGTCAAAAAGTAAAAAAAGTCAGTATCCAATTAATGTTTAAGGTGAATAACCATCCTGCTGTATTTTTAGCTGCATATTTTGTATAACAGAAACAGCTGTGATAGTCCTATGGTAAGGAACAAAGCAGTCTCTTCCAAGTGTTACAAAAGCTGTATGGCTTTTAATCAACTGATAATAACTGATAATAAACAGCTCTTTGAGTCCAGCCAAAGATCGGGTGTGATTCAGCGGCACAGGAGCGTGAACGTGTCTCTGAGATGTGGTCTTCTGGAAACCGCTTTTAACACAATGGAACTATTTCTTGGCTGGCTCCGTTGATGGTCATGTGCTTTTGTTGCCATGAGCTGTGAGAACATTGCTGTAGAAATGTGATTGTAATTTATGACTGTCTGTAGTAATTGTGTACATCTCTTATGTCTGTGTTCTTATAGCCACTTGGGCACTGAAGTAGCTGAAATGAGAAAGAGGCAGCAGTCACAAAATGAAGGAACATCAGCTGTGTCTCAAGCACCTGGAAACCAAAGGCCCAACAACACATGTTGCTTTTGTTGGTGCTGTTGCTGCAGCTGTTCATGGTATGTCCTGTAGTATATTTGCTTCCATATACACCACAGGTAAACTATGAGAATGGAAAGCACTGGGAACATGTTAACTTCTGGGAGAGGAGACACAATTTAACTTTGCATTTAAAAATTTGATTTAAATCGTATCAACCTGATTTGGTTGGACATCTTGTGATGGGGAAGAAGAAAGAATAGTAAATTCAAGCTATATTTATCTTACTAAGCCGTAACTAAATGAGGAAATTTCAGCTGTAAAACTTGTATTTGTGAGTGAGAGACTCAATAATGAATATTTTATAGTTTGCATACAAAACATTTTTTTATGCTCGTACTTTTGATACAGCAGTTCTCTGCATTCAGGTGAAAAAGAGGGAGATGGTCATAAATGTAAATATGTGGTGTCCTGTTACATTACTAATATAAATTCTGTAAATCTGAAAATATGAGCTTTAAATTCCACTTTATCTCTCAAATGGAGTAGCATGATTTTAATGGCTGCTTGTCCCTTCCTCAATAAAGAGTTCACTTCTAAAGTCAAAGATTTAAAGTCAGTTTCCGAAGTAGCTTTAAATTCTCAGTGTCTTGAGATGCATCAGATCTTTATTTCTTATTTTTATGAACACAGTATTGAAATATAAGGTAAATGACATGCAGTACTGTTCAGAGCCTGTGCATCATATTAACCAGACAGTTCAGCTTCTTTGGAGTGTCCATTTCTCTGTATACCTGTGTTATTTTCACTTCAATCAGCCATCTGGCCCCAGTCTAAAATCTGAGGCTATTTTCTTCAGTATATTTAAAAATACATACCAGCATATATGCATCAGGTACCAAATGGGACAGGTTTTTTTCAAGATACTGCCACATCCTGGAGGCAGTAGCAGGGTGGACCTGCCTTGGCTGTTACTTCCAGTTTCACCTGAAGGCAGAGTATTGCTGGAGCAAGAAGGAGCCAGAGCTCATGTTTTACCAACTTACTTTGCAATATGTTCAATCCATGTTGAGAAATAGGTGGAAGTGTATTAAATAGGAAGAAAAGTGATGGTGTTTTGTCACTTTTCTTTCTGCTCTGGGGACAAGGGCACAATATCAGCTGTACTGTTGCAGGCAAGAGATTCATTTACCTTGGTATCCTGTTTCAGGAAGATATTTCACCTTTATCAAATACCACAAGATAAGGATTAAACAAGTAGATATGCACCTCCTCAAACTACCTACTCAAAACACCTCACAACTATTTTCAATCTGCAACTTAGTTATTTCCTGTCCCAGGGCTCCTTTCTGTGTGGTTTATAGACCTTGCTGGAATTTTCTTTCCTTAATTTGTCAAACCATTTTCTGAAGCGACTTCCTGAACTAAACTAAACTTTTGGCATCCAGGGTTCCCTCTAGCAATAAATTCTACAGTAGGCCTGTGCATTCCATGAAGTATTGCTCCCTTTAATTTGTGTTAACCTACTAGAAACTAATTTAATTTGAAATTTAAATTTCCTTATTCTTATGTGAAGAACAGTGAATAATCATTTCCAGGATGGTCAAGATTTTACAGAGCTCTCTCCCTTCAGCTATTTTTTCTTCCTCAGCCTTCTCTATTTTAATCTCTGTGATACAGAGTGACCCAGACCATGATTTATCCTTATCTGTCCTATTTACTCACCTACCTTGTGTCTATGTCCCTCTCCTATTCTATTTCCTGTCTGAGATGTGTCACTAGATCTGTTTTTGTGGTTGAGACATGGGTGCACCATGTTTTGTGTTTGCTCTTGAGTTTTGTTACTAATTCCTAGCACTCTGCTTATTTTTTAACAACCCCAGAGATGATGTTTTCATGGAATTATCCACTCTGAATACAGCATCTCTTTCCTGAATGAAAATAAAGCCCATCATTGTGCATGTACAGCTAGGGTTGGTTTTTGCCTTGCATACAAGAATATGATTAATATTCATATAATATCATTAATATTCATATAATAGCAATAGTATTCAATAAAATATCAGTCTAATTCCTAAAACTTAATGACAACTGATTTAATTTTTTAAGCATGATGCAACTCAAGAAATCTTAAATTTGAAAATGGTACTCTATTTTGAAGCTCTTGTGATCCTTGCAGTCACAGAAGTCACATTGAAGGCAATACCATTATATATGTAAACAGCTTATGCATATTAAATCTAAATTAGAGTAATTAATTATTTAAAACACTGAAGGATGTACCTTCAGCTCTTCTAGTAATTGTTTTTACTTTCTTTCAGGGTTTTTCAGGACTTGAGGTTGGGATTTTTTTTTAATAGTAGATTAGACAGGGTATGGCGAAATCCTGTTAGCTAGTTTTCAAAATTAAGTCAAATAAGTGATCAAAGGAATACTTACATCACTCATGCTAAAATCAAAAGATATGAAAATGATCTAATAAGTATTTTCCAGCTTTAACTTCTATGATTCTGTAGTGGAAGCTCTATTAGAGGAAAGATGGAAAAAAACTTTGAAAAATGCAGTATGAAATGTTTCAGAATCTCAGTTTAAATGAAGTAACTGATTGTGATGACAAATTTGCTTTGTAATCAAAACTGTCGGGGAAGAATACAGGTTACTGTTCTTGCCTCAGTTGTCTACACTAAAAAATTACAAAAATAATAATAATTTTTAAAAAGTAATTAACTTTATTAGTCTCTCATATATAGAGGATTCTAGCTAATTAATTCTCTAGGGTAGTTCTCCGTCATAGAAAATCCTAATCAATAATTGTAACAGGTTCTCTGGACTTAGAGTAATTACATGCTTTCCCTAGTTCCACAGATCTTTGTAACTGAGTAACATGAATTTCCCAAGAGACACCTGTCTGGAAATGCTGCTGGATTCATTAATGGGGAAGGCAATGTTCTATCAAGATCAGAATTTTCTTCAGTTCTTCCACCTGTGTGTGACTGATGATAGCTCTTACATCATTAACTGCTTATTGACTCAACTTCTTCACCATTCACAGAAATGGGAGGACTATGTGCAGATTTTAGTAAAAAAATTCCCTTTTTACAGTTCAAAGAGTTAGTTCAATAGTTCCTATATCCAAATAAATCATTAGAATTCTGAAAATATCTTTTGTGCATCATGTGGTTCTTGTTTTCTTCTGTTCTCCCCCATGTTAAAATCAGAATAGGCATTAAGTCTTCTGTTTGCACAACAGCACAGGAAAATATTCAGACCTTTGGGGAAATAGTATCTTGCCTAATAGAGACTTGTTAACAGCAAAAAATTGGAGAAATTATTCAGTACATCTTATTAAAAACCTCTTTTATTTGTTTTTCTCTAATATTTTTTTCTTAAAAATAATAACTATTTGGAGGACTTCTTTATTGTTGTGGAATAATCCCTATAGGTAGCTCAGCCCCAAGCAGATGCTTACTCACTCCTCACCAGCAGGATGGAGAAAATAATCAGAAAAGTGAAAGCAACAAAACTCTTTCTTTGACATAAAGAGTTTAATTGATAAAGCAAAGCTGTGTGCACAACTAAAGCAAAACAAAAAATCCATTCATGGCTTCCCATCAGTTCAGCCATGTCCTGGAAAGCCATGGTCCATCACATGTTAGAGTGACTTGGGAAAACAGATGCTACAACTCTCAACCTCCATCCTTCCTTTTTCTTATGCAGCTTTTATTGCTGATCACAATCATCATACAGTATGGAATATCCCTTTGGTCAGTTGTGGCCAGCTGTCCCAGCTGTGTCCCCTCACAGCTTCTTATGCACTCCCAGCCAGCCCACTGACAAGGCAATGTGAGAAACAGAAATCCTTGATGCTGTGCAGTGGCTGCTCAACAGCAGCTATAACACATTAATGTGTTATCAACACTGTTGTGGTCAAAAATCCAAAACCTAGTGTCATAAGGATTCTTGTGAAGAGAATTAACTCCATAGCAGCCAGGCTCAGTACATCTTTTCGCACTGACAATCATTAGGACAGTAAATTGCTCAGTTTACAGGGATAAAGCAAGACTTACTACAAAGGTTTGCTCAGATTGAAAATGAAGGGAGATTAACAAGACTATTAAAATGGCTATTTTATTCTAATAGGTATGCTCATGACGTTGCCAACTAGTTTAAGCTCTGAACTTGTTTCTGAGTACAAGTAGTGAAGGAAACACTAGTTCTCCTCTGTGGAAAAAAATAAAGTACTTCTGAAGTTCTCAACAGGAAAAACTTGTTGGCTTGTTTCCTGTTCCCAACAGGAAACACAGCAAAAGCAGATGATACATCCCTGTGAAGACCTTCTATAGACCTTCCTCTCTTCACTGACCAGAAATAGACCTTAGGCACTCATTTTACGAAGACTGCCCAATTAAAGTACTGTGTACCTGTGGTTCTTGACTGAATCATCTCATGTGTCAAACTTCTGCAAAGCTCCATTTCAATAGAGGACAGAAGAACATGCTTCTTTACGAGACGTAATTTCAATGACTTGGGTAGCCTGAGACTTGCAAAATTTGCAGTAAGTCTTTAGCATGACAGTCCATAATTTCCTCAATTATGCTTTCTCCAGAGAGTTGCCCATTTAGTACTTAGAGCTGTGACTTTATATAGTTTTGAGCTCAGTTTGGCAAGGTTAGAGGAGTAAGCCTGCTATTTCACTTCCCCAACCTTGTTTAGCAATCCATTACTCCAGCTTCCTGAGCAGACATGAAACTTATTTTTCTCTTGAAAACACTTTTAAATTACATTCTTCAAAAAAACTCTTCAGGCACTAGCACAGGGAGTTTGGCTTTTATGCCAATTTTATTTTGCTTCCTCCTTTGTCTCCTACCCAGAGCAGGAGTCATATCTTTTAATCCCCTCTTCCTTTCATAAGGTGCTCAGTGAATTTGAAAACTGTGGGACACTGATGCCCGATAATCTGTCTCCTCTTACTGTACACAGAAGGCTCAGAAGGGATCTGACATCTACCCTGCAAGAGACCTTTAGCAGTATGTCAGTCTGGGGTACATGAAAAGGTTTCCAGGGGATAAGTGAAGATGAT